TTGCCGCCCCTAAAAATTTGCCGCCCTAGGCAACTGCCTACTTTGCCTGACGCTAAATCCGCCACTGATGGTGGGTAACAATTTAAAATAGGTAGGTACCTAACAAGAAAAAAACCTTTCCCTTCTTTATAATACATAATATTAATTAAGCTCCAACACAATAGAATTTTTCAAAACAATATAAATAATAAACCTACTGTAAGTCACAACTAAAATATTGTTTAACTATTTAAATTAAATTATATATCATATTTATTATTATATAATTGTATTTTACTAAAAATGTAACGCTATTAGCCCATGTTGTCAAAGCTGAAATTTATTTATGTAAATTTCAAAATCAATAAAAAAAATATATATATTAATAATATTATTATATAAATAATAGTTAGGATCGCTGATTGATGAATGACAATGACCTTGGATAATCGAAATTATTTATTTTTATTTTTGGTACTACAATATAGCTTGAATGAACTATTCATTTACACCATCAATTACTATTAATTTGTTTTTACATTTTTTTACATTGTTTATAAGCACAAATCAATAGTTTATGCAAAATAATTTAATTTTAAGAACCTGATAAATGTATAACCTTTGTGGAAGCCCTAACCGTCAAACATATCTTATTATCTTGCTCTTCTGTAACTTCATAAATACCATAACATCTTTAAACATACCGGATCATTTACACAAATGACTTGGACCTGTTCATGAAAACTCCAACAAAATTATATTACTTTTCTAAAAGTAACCAAACTGTATAACCTTAACTAATTCAATTTGTCTTTTTTTCATATGTTGTGTTCTATTTTTCTCTATATTTTATTACATACTTGAACAAACCACATTGTTATACTTCTAAACATCATATGTTATTATAATGTAATATTAATATTGTAAATAATGTGAGCCAATAACCTTAGTTGTTGAGCTTCAATTAATAATAATAGTAATAATAATAAAATTTAATTTTAAAATAAATATAATAGATTACCACTTCTTAATGTTGTTCACAACAGTGGCGCC